GATTTCTTAGGTGATGGTGGACATGACGGGGTCCTAGAGCAYGATAAAAGTATTGTATTTGCCACATTAGAAGTTTGCATGTGTTTGATTGTTCGACAAATACCAGATATGAATCCAACACCTTTAGTATCTTCAACCAGAAAATTACATTCAAATTGTTTAAATCATAATGTTATCGCTACAACACTAAATATTATGGCCCAACTGCCAAATCTTTGCTCTCCGAGTGGTAAATTATTTTTGAATTTTTAACACGCTTAGTAAATAATATATACATACTTCATACATATCATATATAACTTGCAGGAGGTGTTCAGATACTTCCAACAATCGCATATTTAATAACTAATGTACTAAAAGAATTGGGTGAAACTAATAATTCCAATGAAACTTCCAAAAATAAAGTTTCTATTCTAGCTGCCCTGGACGCTTTTCATGTACTCTGTAAACATCCTTTTGGATACCACAAAGTTTCTGAAAGTAAATGGCGGTCACTCTTACAAAGTACAATTGCTAAACTAATTGATATTTCTAAAACTGGTAATTATAAGATTAAATTATTTATATCAATGAGTTATATATTAGAAAAACTTAATTGTATGCATTAATTTTTTATTTAGGTGATGAAGGGAAAAAATTAAATGAAATAACTATGCTATCTGTCATCACTGTATTTACATTACATGCACCACCTGGCGTTATGTTTGTTCAAAATATTTTATACCCTTGCATTAATTACTGTACACAATGTTTCGGAAGTGATAATATCTTTGTGAGTGTAAAATAAAGAATAAGATTCTTATTTATATCATTAAATATGAAATGAAGATAAGCTCTAAAACTACATTGATAAAAATATTGACTATACTAATTAATTTGTATTTATCTGTATTCAAAACAATTATATATTACAGGTTAAAACAAAATGCATTCAATTTCTTAAAGCTGTTTTTCAACTTGAAGATAAATATATTGCAACAGGATACATTCAAGCACTGGCTCCACGCCTTATGGAATTATTATATGTAGATGTACCAAACAATATGTTGGAATCTAATTTGATAATGTTATGTGAAGCGATTAGTACAATTGAATGCTTGGTTCAATTGGCACAACCCAAACACAGTAATTTTCAACAAATATTTGTTTAATCTTTAAGAGAATAATAAAATGAGAAGATCTTAGGACCTCTTAAATCAAAGCATTGCTTATCATACCTATATTCTGATTTTTTATATGATCTAATGTATTGTGTCAAATCATATTAAGATAAAGTACTATCAGTATTGTACAGTTACACTTGTTTAAGATAATCTTCTAAGGACCAACTCAAAAGAGCGTCTTATACCGGTATTAACTGGTATGATAAATCTCTAGGGACTAGCGTAAAATAACGCCTTAAGCATGAGCGTCCTAAGGAAGGTTTAATGTATATAGTAATTTTACTGTTAAAATATTTTCACTAAATATGAAATAAAATAACTAACCTCATCTATGTTAACTAAATAAAAAAAGATAGTCTATTTATATTATTTATTTATTTGTAGTCAAAAGAAAAATCTTATATTCTACTCAACATATTGAGTTTATTTTATATAGAATTAGGTACTATTTTTTTTAGGAGTCATTTGATATTAACAAAAATCATATTTAATATACTTTATTTTGTTTTCAGGAATTCAAATGTTAGCATTGCTTGTACCATCCTTAATCAATTTTCTTATTGACACAGAATTGACAAAATATGACACCGCTTTATCTAAATCACGGTCTAAACTTCATGAGTTTAGTTTACAATGTTTATTGAAAATTGGCCCAGTTTATCCACAGGTATATTAATTACTATTTAGAATATACACATTTTTTGAAAATGTTTACAATATTTTTTCAGGAATTCAAAATAATCATGTCTCAAAACAATAAATTGAAGACAAAATTAGAGCATACCATTAAAACTACTAAATCACAACAACAGTTTAACTCTGGTTGTCATGTACCACAAAGTATAACAAAATCAATTCAGCCTTCTATCAAACTGAAAACAGATTTCACTAACTTTAGTTAATATAAAGAATTATATCTATAACATAATCGTTAAACAGTTTTAAATATTTTTACTAGAATTTTGATTTTTTGTTTCATAAAATTATTAATAGATTACATGTATTAAGTTACCAATTTTATGATGGACTGAAATCATTGGTTATTCATTTTTTATTATTGAAACATTTTTAAATACAAATATCATATTTAATATTGTAATAGATTTTATTATTTATGAAATAGTAGATTGAGATTCCTAAGCCAATTATATTTGAAAACACAAATGATCCTAATAATTGTTATTAAAACTTCAATTCAAATTGATTACATTTTTTACAAAAATCACTAATATATAATTACAATKAAAAGTTAATTTTATAGATACATTAAGCGTAAGACATGTTGGCGTACTTAGAAATTGGAAAACAAYTGTTGTTGGTCATACATAGTTTTTTGGAGATGTGTCAGAAGCAGTTGAAGCAAAACAGACCAGTCGAGGGTCGATTTTAAAACTTTTAAATTTAAGAGTAATTCTTAATATTTCTCATTTATTTTTTAGAGAAAATTAAATTATTTAATTTTTATTAAAAGTTTATAATTATTATTAATTTATATTGCCTATGATAATTATGATAGATATCATCAACTGTAAGCCTATATTTGTTTATAAAAAGACAAAAGTTGATTATTATTAAGATATTTTGCGCCTGTAGGCAAACATTTTTCTGGCGTCCCTCCTACCCAGACCTTTGAAAGTAAAAGTAAATATTACGTACCTAACATAATATACTAATTATTCCTATGTTCATAGGATTATAAAATTAATAATATAAACTAGACAATATTATATTTATTTAACATTATTATCAGTAAACACAGTATTCAAATTTGGGAGGGGATGCTGGGAGACATTGTATTTTAGCACTAGGTTACACTTAAGATATACAAAATACAATATTTTATTATAAATTAGATTAAATTAAATTTGTAGTTTATACATAAAAAAAAAATAACCTAACCTATCATTGCATTCAAATTTAACCTACCCTAGTCAGAGGTCCACTCCGCCCCCTAATGTACAGCAGAGCGACATCCACTTACCCACATTTTTAATATAAAATGTATACAACAAAAAAATATTTTTAGAATTGTTCTAATTTACAATAAATGTATTAAATTTTGGCGCCCCTCAAAAGCGGCGCCTGTAGGCACGTGCCTGCTGTGCTTAGTGGTTAATCCGGCACTGTTTATACACTAAACTAGAATATACAGACAGTACATTATTACTTTGATAAATGAAACCTTAACTAAATAAATATTTGTATTTTTTTTTGTTTTGCTTAATTTGTCATAATTTAAATTGAATACATTTTGGGTAAGTGGAGGCAACGCCTCCACGGATTACTTTAAATGTAATATCAGGGGACTAAGAATCGCGCCTTCAACCCCTTAAATTTTAGACATAATAATTGCGCCACTGTTGGGAAGGTATTGACATATTCAAGATTTTCAAGGAAGAAATCAGAGTGTATCGATACATATCGATTTAATTTTGTGTGTTCAAGAAGTTCAACATGCAAGCGATACGTACCGACTGGTATCGAAGTCTAAACACGAAACGGGTCGGTACGTAACTATTCTTAGTCGATACGTCTCGAATTCTTCTTGAAAATCTTGATTATTATCACATATTTACTATATTATCACAGTTTATATAAAAATTATACATAATCTGTGACCATTTTGTCGTAGCTCCATAGACCTTATACTAGAAATGAATAATATACGTATCTGGCTTATAATTGTTTTTTTTTTAAACTTAACTTTTTCAAATATTGACTAACTTTTTGTATATATTATTAATACATTTTTAGGGACTGAATTATACTATTATTTAATTCTRAATTATTTTAACTGCACTGCTTATAATTATATTTTTTTTAAACTTAACTTTTTGTAGATATTATTGGTCAGTTTTTTGTGACTGAATTGTGACTGTTGACTTTTGAATATAAATTGTTCAATTCAACGATATTATAGAATATAATGTACCTATTAATTATACAAATATATTTTTA